TTTAATAAAACGAATTTTGCGGTGAGGTTTCTCCCACCGCCGTACAACTTCCATCCAATAAGGTCTTCGTAAAGTGTAAATGAACTATAAAATCAAAATACCAGAAAACATGCTAGGGCCAAATTATTGGTCCAGGAATGTTACTAGTCGATTGGCTGCATCCATGTTTCTGTTACAGAACAATGTGAGTGACTTGTCGCTTCAGTGGACAGTCGGCAGACAAACGGTAGTGATGTAATCTGTGTGTAACTCTGTTTTGTAGGCTTCTGCGTTCGAGTTTTGAAACCCAGGGCGTAACTAACCTCTGTGTGTAACTGAATTGTACTTATTGGCACGTATAAATAACGCTCACATAAACCCATATTGAAGATAATAACTGGATGATCGGTATTTTTGAGAAATTCTATGTATGTAGCTGTGATCTTGAGGTTTTACGGGGGCTGGGATACTGCCAGGGCGCCGACACCTAGACAGGAGGACGATTAGGGTCCTCAACCAAAATCTTTGGCTCAGAAGCCTGACCGCAAGGCGGCGGTGTTCGGCTGGAAACGCAAGCACATTACCATTTTTTTACGGAACACGTCGCCATACATGTTCAAACCCCCAACCTGGAGGGCCAGGAGACTTTATTCGTCGGACCTCTACCCATGGACCAACCTGGTATGAGAGACTCTGTGGGCATCGTGCGGACACTCTCCGGTACAGCTCAATGGGTCGCCGAGGTACACAAACCGCCACACCACGGTAAGGTCCAGTCTCTTCGTGACGGCAGTGAAGCATCAGTGCCAACACTGATGCTGCTGTCTTTGATGATGATGATGATGATGATGATGATGATGATGATGATGATGATGATGATGATGATGATGATGATGATGATGTGATCTTGAGGGCGAAATAATTTCAAGGCTAGTAAACCCCAATGGCGTGGACACTGTTACAGTAATTAAGACAGTAAATTTGATAAGAATGGTCCGAAAATACCGAAGAGGCTGAACTTTTTTGTTGGTTAATTCTGAGCGAAACAACCATTTGGTCAGTTGGCCGCCTCTCATCGATAATGAGCTGTACCTAGAAAGAATTTCCTGACTAAATGACATTGCCAGCTAGAGAAAACAGACTGTATTACATTTGCAAACTCAGAAAAATCCCCATGCAGGTAATGCATAGCCCCTTTACGCACCTGCCATAATCAAAACAAGTCATGATTTATTAAGGTATTCTTGTATTACAGGTCCATGGACGCTATTCAGGATAGCGTTTGAATTTAAGGCGGACGAAATGGGGTGGGATGTTGAGGTGTATTGATTTGTGGTTGGTAAGACATGGCGAATGGTTGTCTCGTCTGTGCGTAAATTCTGTTCCCAAGTCTCGCGGAATGTTCATAAAGGGAATGAGTTGACAAAAAGTATGATTCTTCATCAGTGGGCTTAGTTGAGTAACGAATAATCCAACTGTTGGTGCTCCCTCGAGTTAGACAACTCGGAGTAGTTCAGGGTAGGCTGATGCCAACACGGATCCTACCAGAGAGAAACGAGCGTACGGGGAAGTAAGACGTACTCTGCATATGTTGGACCATACATATCTAGTAATGTTCGCGTTCTGGTTGGGCATTTTATTTTAAGTGACCAAATTATTTGGAGTAATCACAAAATACGCCATATAGTGTTGAATTAATCTGTTTTAAGTAGATAAGACTGTCGCATTTGCTACTAACAAGGCAAGACAAATGCTGCTAGGCGAATATACTTGGGCTGCATCCATTCAGGATTCCCCGACCTACAAGCAGACACGCCGGTAAATTTTTTACAGACAGTCCACTCTAGTTGATGATTCACTTTGAATAAAATCTACTCATATGGAACAGGTTACCCTGAAGTGAAAGCCTAGGATAAAAAATTCATGAATCAGAGCACACCAATGGTGTATTGGCTGCACACGATGACGAGAAAGGCGCTAGATCATTTGTGCTTATTGTTATCTTCTCAAGTGCTGAGATCTGATTATTCTGCATCATTCAGTGACCGTCGGTTGAATGTCAATTGAACGTATATGTCTGATATTCTGGTTAATTGCAATTCATGTCTTATTCATGGCTCACATGTCTACCCCCTATTGAGTACTACCAGTGGTAGACTCCTGAAAATAGATACAACCTGGCTTCTCAAGCGAAATCTAGATTTCCTTCATAGTCTTCTCGCAGGCGAGGAGAATGTTGGGTACCCAGTGGCCTGTTCGGGACCATAGACCAGTGCTGGGCTTTCCAGGAGAAACGGTTAAATTTAAGTTGCGTGTAGCATGTGGATGGCCTCGGATGCACTCCTGACATTGTTCCGGGCGATTACGGCGTGCATTGTTGACATATCGTTGATGCTTTGTTGGGTCAACTGGAGACAACTTTCGCCCAAGTTAAGCGGGGGAATCACACGTCCCAGGGTGATGATGAAAAGGAATTTTAATCTCCAGTCGCTTATGATAAAGCCCAAACAGAAAGTGTGAAACGGTTTCTAAAGTTAGATCTCTTCTTTGGTCTGGCGATCCCGTGTTGCTCATTTTTACGTTCAGGGTCATGCTACTACATAAGCTTACCAATAAGTGCGTACATACAGCATCATACCGAGCTGCTTTCATAGGACAATGACTACCCAGGTAGCACAGCCCTTTATAATACCGTCACATGAATACATGTCAGTGAACAACCATCTGAAACATGACTATCTTACTTGATTCCAATATCTTGGAACAGATTTGATTTTCCACTAGTTAGGTTTGGTGATTTAGAACCTCTATATTATCCCTTTTTTCAAAGACCAATCCGTAAGCTCGTTTCAGGATGGTTTGCCAAAAACGAAACTATCAAAATAAAAAATTCATCCAACATCCTCAACTAAAATCTATCCGTTGTTATTTCGTGGTCCCTAGCTTTGCCCATTCAGTCATTAAGTCAGTTCGGTCAACCAGCAATAAAATGTTTCAAAAAGAATACGCGGTCAGGATGACTGTTACATCATCTTAGTATGGTTCCTATGGATGAGGAATGTCGTACTCTACTAACGAGCGGTTATTAGCAGACATAAACAAGCGTCAGTTAAGTTACAGCATGGTAAAATTAAACGATGACGTATATTGCGGACAATAGTACGTATATTAAACGTTCTGCTTTCAGGACGGCGACAGTGTGCTCTAATAGGTAAATCTCCCATCACAGTCTATGCCCAACTCGTCAGCCGTTTACCTCCTGAGACAATATAGTCGAGCAAGGTCACTTTATCACCATGGTGATAGTTAACAAAATGACTACATCACATTGTAGAGGAAGTAGGGAGTGAACCAGGAAATGGACAATCAATCTACTGGGAAAAGCTAATTGCCAATAGACACAATTTTGTTTGAAGTGCGATCCGGCAGGTGTAGTGCGTGTCTGATTGATTGAGCTCAAATGAACTCTCGGATTAAGTGAAATTATCAGCGGCTTTAGGAAGGTCTCCTCGAGACAACGCCTGTGTTTCCTTCTCATCACATCCATCACGTACTGTTGCAAATTCCATCGTAAGGAAGATATGACTAATCCCATCACTTTCTTTCGAACCGTGCCTCATATATTTAGTACTGACACTCGTACTGAGTGTTTTGAAACTGGTATCGCTCCATTGATACCGCCAGCGCTTTCAGCACGATTTGCGAATAGAGGTTAAGTCTCCATTCCCAAAGTTATACACTCCTTTTCGTCAGAATCGCAACCCATATTTAGATCATACTTTGAACACGGTCACGTTTTGTCAAAACACTGAGTTTTATGTGATTGGAAAATAATTTTTAGGCCTACACCACGCACCTAACTTTGAGCAATATTACCATTGTTAACCGTTTGTTATCAGCTTTAGGTATATAAACGCTTTTTACATCGACTTAAGAAATGTGAATTCGGGCAAGCTGCCCTCACACAAAGGTAATTTTACCAGTTTCCCTTCAAGCTCCAAAAATGTATTCCATTAGACCCATGCCGCTTACCCGATGCAGAAATGTAACCAACCTCATCAATTGCTGCTAAGATAATAGCTGCCGAATTTCTCCTGGTGCTGGACTGCCTGCAATTATGGTGTAAGTTCGCGCTTCGAATGACAAACCCAACAGAACTGTCGAGTCTAGACACTTTACAACGTGCTTCTCTACATCAACCATCCTTTTATGGTAATCAGTCCTGGTGCGTGTTTCTTGAACACTGTTTGGGTGACCCTAGGGATGAGCAAAGTCATGGCGTACCTCGTCATGGCATAATAAATCAGTTCAGTTTGGACGCAATATTTGTTCTTTCAAGGTGATAAATCCCATAGGTCTCAAAACAGCAAAGAGCTGCGTGGTCACCGCTAAGTCGCGGAACTTTGCGCAAAATGTGCTTAATTAGCCGCCTAAAACAGCAGAACCATGAACTTTTAGGCGTGACCTTTGCAACTATTTTGTGGTCAGAAGAGAGCTGGAAGGAAGAACATTTTACTTTCCTCAATACATGGCCAAATTTCGAGTGCCAGTGTCTGTCGCACACTTTGGCATCGAGCATTGTTACTGAAGATACACTTGAAGACGTGTGGAGTGCATTAAACCACCAGCTGAATAGACAGCAATCTGTGATTTTTCTCTTTTTCAAGAGGTCACCCAAGCCACATGGCAACAGAAAATCAATTCATGCTGCAAGATTGTTTTCTGGTTAAGTTGACGTGATTTCTGTTCAAAAGCCGTATCCGTGGAACTTTCTAGCCGAGAAGCCGAAATAAACACGTCGCAAAGAATCACCTCTTGCCGTAGAGGTGGTGCCGTTCTCTTAACCTTGGTTTTGTTGACTTTGCACGGGCGGAACTATGTGAGACGACAAACAACACACTTTTCGGAACACAGTTAACCGTCCACACATTCTGCCTACCACTTCAAACCTGTAAGCTCCATACTTCAGGTCCGACGACGGAAGACAATGAGGTACCTATTATTGATTCATTTGCTCAAAGAAACACGCTGGTTTTGTGGTGAGCGAATCGATGATTGGCTCTAACCAGCCGGTTGGAGATCTAAATATCGGTCGTCTAAACGCTCTCCTTTCAGATTCCAGTATGAAAATATTGGGACCTGATCCGAAGGTGAGTGAACAATCGGTCAGAATATATGCAGCAAATCATTAACTGCGTTTGTGTTTTAGAATTTAATGAGTCCCACAGATTGTAAAATGAAAAAAACTGCATGCAGGAGGGCATTTCCCCCCGGCAACCATGTGTGGGCTATTCATTCAATCAGTCTTGGTTTCGTATCTACTTTGAGCTGACTGAAGTTGGACTTTCGTTACTTAATATCTGCAGTTTTCATGGAACTTGTCGTTACGATTAATCACAAAACTTTCTCATCAGGACTGCAAGTCATCAGAGATTAACTACTAAAAGCCGAGGATACAGTAATCTGCCTCTTAAGATGCTACTAAGAAAAGTGACCACTTCTGGTGAATGACTGATTTATCATCCCAGTTTCTAGAGAAGACTAGCCCGTTTTTTATTTTCACATCAGTGGTTTATACTCGCAGCTCGTTCACTAAGCATTTCAACCTAGAGGGCGCAGAAACATACTGCTTAAACACTTATTCTGAGATACAGTTCATGGTATGCCTGGACCATTGTGAAGGAAAAGATCCTTCTGTGGGCTGTTGGGAGAACTTTATCCCATTTACCGATGCTGACGCACCTGAGGAACCAAACACCTTCCTGCGCTGTTGCGAGTGACTACTGCCACATCCTGCATACGTGCCAGTTGACCTCATTTTTTAGCAGCTATCCGTAGATCAAAGCTTACTCGCTCACTTCTCCACAGATTTGTACCGCTGACAAAACACCCACTGGAACTACTCAGACATGAGACAAATGGCATGGCCACCGATGGTCTGTGGCTCGCTACCTTTAGCACAAGTCCAAACCGGCATAATTTTGCCAGATGTACTTTGGTTTGGATATCGCCGTTAGATTAGGATGAAATATAATGAAAGATTTTTTGTGAGCCATATTGTGAGACGTCTCAGGAAATTCCTCATTAAATTTATCAGCTTTGATGATGAAACAAATTTGATTCAAAAATTGCTGTGCAAACAACGCTTTAGGTGAAAGGACACCTTTTGGGTTGAATATTCAGGCCATGCTCCATTCTGTCCACGTCGATGTTCTGATTTACGTACTTCATTCAACGTAAAATATATTGGAACATCTCGCTAACCGAATGGAGACAGAGAACCTGGTTGGTTACCAAACACTATCGATGCCACACGCATCGATCGATTGGAAGAACACAGATCATATTCCATATTCAGGCCTCTGTCAGCCCAAAGCGTCAACTGTTTGAACTGTGCAGACTCATCTTCTAATCAGACACCTGTCAAGTAGTATGTTGTGAGGGCACACGGTGCCCACAAGTTCCCATTCAGATTCCGAGGTTCGTAGAAAAAAGTATCCCTTGAGTGCAATTTTTACATGTGCAGAGCCGAGCCAAGTGAAACGGAGTCTTGTTGTCTCATTGACATATTATGGAAGTATCAACGTGACTTTTTAATTAACGGATGGAATTTATCAAGTCATATGTGCTGCATGCCGCAAGCCTGGGTGAGGAACGCAAGTAATCACGTGCCCGAATGAGCCATAAGTGCGGCTAGCCTATGTTCTACTCTACCTCGACTAACCACGATAAAATGTGACCTGTGTACATGAGCACATGACAATTAAGTGTAGTTTGGGATGTGAGCGCACTTGTTATCTCTATCTCTCTTGTGGTCCACTTGTGTGCAAATACACTGACTATTGCGGTACGGTTAGTGGACTCAAACGTTTAGGAGGCGTTTATACGTGGATCATCCAATTTCCAGAATGATGAGTACACTTGTGACAATGAAGATACCGGTCACGTTAGATCAGCTACACCAAAGTACACTACATCGATTTAGAGAGCTAATACGTGTCTGACTGATGGTTGAATAGATGCTGGTGCATCTGCACAGTGCTGTCAGTCAAGCATACTGCACACGACAAAAAACTACCAAACTTCAAGAGTACTTGACTTTTATTTTTGTTCGGTGCATCGTAAAATGGAACATCAGGGTGTCCGATTACTAGACGATGCCCATCACCATCTTATATCGATCTAATTCCAGAATAATCTCTGCCTAAACCCACTGAAACCGTGATGCGCAAATTGTGCCAAAAACTCTTGCTGTTCTTCCGGTTTGAGAATATGAGATGGGTCCATGGTTAAACTCTGAAAAAGTACGCTCTCCATATTTTCTCTTTCGAACGGATAGGGACCACCTAACGTAACCCACAGTAGATACATTTGGCAGGTCTGTTGTTCTAGTTCAACTTCATTTTCGCGGCAATCGAATTTGTTGGAAAACTTCAAACCGAAGGGAAACATACAACGGAACACATCGATCATCACTTAAGTCGACTGTTTGTAATGGGTTTATTACTTTCGGTATCTTAGGTGACTGATATATATTGCGGCTACCATAGAAGAGGTGAAATGATAAATCACCGAGACGTAATCACTGGTCATCCGTACTTCTGGCAGCAATTTTTCAGATGCCCTGTCACTCCGAAAATTGTTGTCCTACTTCCATTTACAGATTAATGCAGCTGTAACTTTGCCATTCAAAAATCGTTTGTCACTTTTATGTCACCGGCAACTTCGCCCTTCTAATCTTCCGTACCAGTGGGTTTTGGTCCAAATGATTTGGACAGATCCACTGAACACATACTAATTTTCGGGAAGTACACTCATTTGCAAATCAATTTGTTTTCACGAGAGACACGAGAGACTCAACTGAATCTCTCGTTTATGCTATTCTACAACTGAACGTGCTGCACACAGGCTGAAGAGTTTTCAGCAACCTTGTGAGTAGTTTCCCCTATGAAAACATACTAATTTTCTTTGAAACGCCTTACAGTTTCCATAAGTATTCCGATCACACGCAGTCCAAGTTCATCCTCTGAAGTTCACTGTCAGTCTATAAAGTAAGCTCAAACAACTTCCGGTCTTAGTGGACATTGTGCGCTTCTGAACATTTTGTCAGATTTAGGGTTAGCAGTGACATAATTCCTACCGGTCTTCACAGGCGAGTAAAGGACAAGCAGACCAACAAGAATATGCGGGGTCAATTCTGTTCCGGCGTATTTGTGGTCATTTCTCTGACAGAAATTCCGTTCAAGTTTGATGGTCGCACATGCAAGATCGTTGGAGTGAATCAAACGAAATATTACTTGTTGATCCGTGGGGGGATGGAATTTTGTGTTGTAATATTGTGTTTTTCTTACAAACAAAACTGAATAAACCCTTGGCTACTGGGTTGCTAATCAGTCTCAAATATAAGTAGTTTCGTCAGTAATGCATTTTGACTTCCCTATTTCAGAATTACATGTAGGTAACCGCGGTTCATTGAAGAAGTTTTTGAAAGTCAAATGACCAACCCATGTTGAAATCATGTCCAAGCGTGGTTGATCCTGTAAATAATGTGAAATTCTCAGATGGTCCGACGACAATTACAGAGCAGCCGTTGGAATTTCAATTGATGTGTCAGAACAAAGAATCACATTTGATGTTTATTTCAAAGTTTAAACACGACTTCTACGTGATAATGTGTGTTTGCCGCCTCATTAAAATGGAGGCGGCATTGTCATACTCACACTCCGTGGAGCATGACAATCGATCAACGATTGCATCTACTGAGTCTCTCTAATAACATAGTTGCCTCAACTCGTTCAGTATTTTGGCATGAAGTTGAGCTTGCACAACTCAAGTCACGTTCGTCAGTCAGTTTATAGAGAAATCATTGCTGAAAACTGAAATGATTCTTTTCGCAACTCACACTCAAACACACCGCAGCAATGAATTTGTCACTCAAACCCGAAATAGTCAAAAAGTTTACCACATCTTGTGCTTTCATTCTTAACAGATTCAGGGCTTTGTGAAATTCACCCCCTTTTTGCCTCACGTACATATTTTGCTTGTTCTTTCAGCTCATCGGTATGATTGTCTTTGAGGAACCGGGCGCAAACATTAGATGGCGTATTCAATTTATTCATATTGTATGTGGGTTTAAAGCAATTGATTTTCTTGTTTATTATGCTCCCTCTGATCGATTTCCTCCAGAAGAAATTTCGGCCAGCTACGTCAGTCAATTATAAAACCTTAGTAGATAACGCCTCTCATTTATTGCGAACACCGCGTTCGGATACTATTTGTGTCCATTTGTTGGCCACCCTATTTGAGAAGTTTGACAGTCCACTTGCAAACGTTTATCTCCATTTTCATACATCATCAGCGCGTGGTTGTAAGTTCTAGAAACGTTCGCTAACCAGTCACCACTATCGATTTAATATCCAACAGTGAATCATAACCAACCAACGAGTGTACCGAAAAGTCACCAGCAATGGATTTCAGGCGGGATTTCAGCTTTGCTCCTAATCCTTCAGTTTCAGCGAAATAGATCTACTTGGATAGTTTATAAATTGAGTCATAAGAAAGCATTCATCTGACTGCTTTTTATTTGCATGTGGCTGTTTACTTAAATGTGTGCTGCTTGGATGCATCAAGGGGATCACTGTACACTATCGTCCATGAAGCATTAGGAAGAGAAATATTTTCTAATCGGAAAACTACACCAAAGATTTGTTACTAGCATCCAATAAGACACTTGTGTTTCTATATTTCGTCTAACGTATGTGTCGATGTTTAGCTTCATTATCTATATTTGATGAATCGTAGCCGACACGTAAGGAATACGTCAGTAGCCTAAAAAAGAGGTGCTTTATTGATACGATAATTGTAGGTCACCAAATGTGTACGTTTCAGTAACCACTTGTTAAAGTGCGGAATGATGCAATCAGGACCAACTCACCTACGCGAATAGCACTGTTAAACAACTTGAGAGTGGACAGTTTCAGTGGTTGGCTTTCGTACCTGAGAGAGAAGAAGGCAGAATCCAATTATTGTAAGGTTTTCACCAGATTAGAGGCAGAAAACTTCGAATTGATCAATTTGTGTCAGTAAAACGAGTCCAAACTTTGAAGGATAGATCAGGAAAGCGGAAAGTGGATTTGGGTATATCGAGCTGGGGTTTTTGCTTTGTCACCATTCGGCCTCTTATTCGGACGATAAGAACGTGTGTTTGAAACACTTTTCCAAACACTGCTTGTTTATCTGCACCGGCCGTAACCAAATATCAAATTAGGTGTTTGTGAATACTGGGAGTCACAGACCGTGAATTCTTATACCCCATGCACCTCGTCTGGGTCTGTATTGTTCGTAGGCGGTTGTGGACTCAGTAGACTCAGTAGCATCGATGAAATCAGGTGAGTTGTCACCGGATTTTCAAGCACATACCGCATACTGATCGATCGTAAGCAAAAGGAAAACAAAGCTGTTTATGCTTTACTCAAAAAAGATGAAATAATACCGTGGAAGCCGTTGCAAGCCAAGAATTAGAGACAGTGTTCTCTTCATGATATTGGAGATACTTCAAATAATCGGGACTTGTCTAGATTCCTTATGACAGAAAACAGATTCAAAACCCTCCAAAAGCTCACTACGCCACTATTTGGTTTAAACCTTCAGTCTGTTGCACACATGTAAGGTGTTACTTGTAGGTAATCAAAATATGAACATACATGGACTTATCACAATGAGACTTTTACCAGTTCCAAAGCAGTCTATTTTGCTCCGAACTCATATGTGATGAAGCTGTACACGTTACTACGAATGAGTAACTACATCTCTTTATATACAGCTTGTTTTCTCTAACTTTAACTATATTTCAATCGGTTACTAATCCATTTAACCGTTTTTTAACAACCAATACTCCTCTTAGTGCTCCCTCTATTTACCCTGGCTACGGTTGCCATAAATACCAAAAATCTATGGAAATTTCGAAGTGCATTGGGACAGATGGTATGGCAATATCCTTTTCACACAAACGTCCCACCAGAAGCAGCATTTTTTGCAGTCCAAGTGAACGATGCGATGGGCTTCAGCTATGGTCTTGAGGGTGGCACAAGCTGGTCAAAACTATATCCAAAGTATTCCATTTACGCGAAATAAACTCAGTTACTGATGGTCAGTCAAACAATTAGGGTCTAGTTTGTGTCATTTTTATGCTCTACATAGTGGTGGTTGGAAAATTAACGAAACTCCTTGTCCTCGGTCATTCGCTGATGTGTTATTCTCATTAAAGTGTTTGGTTTTCCAAACGACTGTCTCGTTGGCCAAGCTGGTCTACTGTGGTTAAATTTTGCGGGCCTTAAAGGATATTGTGCTTGTAGTGGATACTGCTTGTACGTCGGCACGAGTACATCACCCAGAGCATTATCTAGTTTATTGGACAGGAAGCGCTGAAACCTTACCAGTTGATCAGATCCGTTGATACAGCTACTATGCGCTCTTTGAATTTGAGTTCTCCCTCTCGCGTTGTCCATCGGGTGCGCTCCAGAATCGATGGGGAAAATACTTGGATTCTGCTCTGAGGATTACCTCCATCGTCCCACCCATATCTTCGGTAGAATAGGTAAAACAGCAACCTGGTAAATTGAGAATAAGTGGAATTATTCGCCAATTTGTGACAAAACTTCAGAGTGCTTAGTTAAGCTGGTTAAGTTTTTCTCTACATTTTCTCGTTAGTTTATCAACAAGATGCCAATGGTCATTCATTTATTTCATGAATGCCTCTCTCCTTTGTAAAAAAAAGGTCTTATCTCAGAAAGGATATTTTCGAATCTCCTTCAGTCTGATGGTGGCGAGGATTGCGTCCAATAATCTTATCTGCATTATGAACGATGAATACCTCGGGAACTTATCATCACTGCTTCATTTTCAACCCTAATTACTGACTGTCTGTTAAGTGAATATTTATATAGATAACTGAGACTGAAGAAATGAGATATTTTTCCATAAAATATCTCATCTCATATGGTTGTTTGAGATCCAAAATAACCTTGTAGCCGTGATAAACCATCAGACAAAATATCGGGGCTCTTTCTAGGAGAAAAGGCGGTAAGATATTTTCGGAATGCCAGAATGTACAGAACAATGTCATAGACAGTGATTCAACGACAAACCGGTGAATAGTTCGTACACTTTGTTTCCGAATTTTAGGAGCATGCATGCTATGAGCAAATTTTTTTTGGTTGGTTCACCATTGGATTGGTGGCTATCGAGAAAACCGAGGAATGTTTCCGGTTGCGGACAAATCTGGGCGTTTTGAGGAGCCAAGTTTTCGCACTGCGGACATCAAAGCCTATGAATGTCACCTTTCATACAATGTCAAGCTGTCAAGCTACTATTAAACGTGTTTACAGTGGAGTTGGAGGTATAGCTTTGAGTGCTGTATGCTCTGGGCGTCAGACTGAATTGTACTCGATACTTTTCAGCTAACCGGCCAAGCATTAAATGCCTTCACTCACGGGACAATGCGTGATCTACATCAACAGAGATATGGGTGTGGTCTTCCAATCCATCCCTGCCCGCAGCCAAAGGTTTGGTGTATTGAGTGGTGGACTAACTGACTGACTTCACGCACCCACCCCCTGTGTGACCAAGCTGTAAACAAACTACCCTAATTACTCATAGCGAGCGCATAACTATGATTCACAGAATTGATTGGTTTGATTTAGTGGCACACCACCAGAAACAGACCACTGTGTCCAGATATCCGGATGGTGTAGTTGCCCACCATCACGAAGTCCTCTGTTGTTTTGTTCTGGTTAAAAAACATTGTCTTGCAACCGCTGGGCGAATTCATACTTCAGAGAAATCCGTCATATGTTAAGCGGGAAAGAGATAATTCAAGCAACTGTGACCTAATTACTAGACGATGGCTCACACAGTGTCTTAATCTATGAGGTGCAGTCTAACTTTTCCAGTATAATTGGGGTCTTCCATTGTTCCAGATAGAGCACACCATCCACACCGGTTTTAAGTTAAGTTACTGTGTCAACATATCAAACCTGCTAACCTCTCCACAAAAGCACTAGATATTCAGCGCGGATTAGTTCATATGGAATCCATAGATACCTCAACGTGGATAAAGGCATGTGATGTGACATCATTCATCAGCATGCGCGCGTTCACAACGGAACTGTAGCGGCCCTGTAATATCGTGTGTTTGGTTAAACGACATATTTAACTGTCACTTCCAGCTGAATTATGCCTTTGAATCATTATGGTTACTGAGTAACGGTTGTTGTCACGCCGCTAGAGTGGTTGATTCGGGCAGCAGCGGCGTTTGCACAGCTGGAGTGGCTGAACTGCAATAACACCTTAACTACAGCACACGATTCTGTATTGCTAGAACACACACACGCCTTTTGTCGGTGTCACAGACGAAAACTTGTTTTTGGCGCAGGATAAACGACGCAGGAGGCAAAACATCATTATTTTCCATAAAATATCTCATCTCATATGGTTGTTTGAGATCCAAAATAACCTTGTAGCCGTGATAAACCATCAGACAAAATATCGGGGCTCTTTCTAGGAGAAAAGGCGGTAAGATATTTTCGGAATGCCAGAATGTACAGAACAATGTCATAGACAGTGATTCAACGACAAACCGGTGAATAGTTCGTACACTTTGTTTCCGAATTTTAGGAGCATGCATGCTATGAGCAAATTTTTTTTGGTTGGTTCACCATTGGATTGGTGGCTATCGAGAAAACCGAGGAATGTTTCCGGTTGCGGACAAATCTGGGCGTTTTGAGGAGCCAAGTTTTCGCACTGCGGACATCAAAGCCTATGAATGTCACCTTTCATACAATGTCAAGCTGTCAAGCTACTATTAAACGTGTTTACAGTGGAGTTGGAGGTATAGCTTTGAGTGCTGTATGCTCTGGGCGTCAGACTGAATTGTACTCGATACTTTTCAGCTAACCGGCCAAGCATTAAATGCCTTCACTCACGGGACAATGCGTGATCTACATCAACAGAGATATGGGTGTGGTCTTCCAATCCATCCCTGCCCGCAGCCAAAGGTTTGGTGTATTGAGTGGTGGACTAACTGACTGACTTCACGCACCCACCCCCTGTGTGACCAAGCTGTAAACAAACTACCCTAATTACTCATAGCGAGCGCATAACTATGATTCACAGAATTGATTGGTTTGATTTAGTGGCACACCACCAGAAACAGACCACTGTGTCCAGATATCCGGATGGTGTAGTTGCCCACCATCACGAAGTCCTCTGTTGTTTTGTTCTGGTTAAAAAACATTGTCTTGCAACCGCTGGGCGAATTCATACTTCAGAGAAATCCGTCATATGTTAAGCGGGAAAGAGATAATTCAAGCAACTGTGACCTAATTACTAGACGATGGCTCACACAGTGTCTTAATCTATGAGGTGCAGTCTAACTTTTCCAGTATAATTGGGGTCTTCCATTGTTCCAGATAGAGCACACCATCCACACCGGTTTTAAGTTAAGTTACTGTGTCAACATATCAAACCTGCTAACCTCTCCACAAAAGCACTAGATATTCAGCGCGGATTAGTTCATATGGAATCCATAGATACCTCAACGTGGATAAAGGCATGTGATGTGACATCATTCATCAGCATGCGCGCGTTCACAACGGAACTGTAGCGGCCCTGTAATATGGTGTGTTTGGTTAAACGACATATTTAACTGTCACTTCCAGCTGAATTATGCCTTTGAATCATTATGGTTACTGAGTAACGGTTGTTGTCACGCCGCTAGAGTGGTTGATTCGGGCAGCAGCGGCGTTTGCACAGCTGGAGTGGCTGAACTGCAATAACACCTTAACTACAGCACACGATTCTGTATTGCTAGAACACACACACGCCTTTTGTCGACAGACCAGACGAAAACTTGTTTTTGGCGCAGGATAAACGACGCAGGAGGCAAAACATCATTACAATAGAGAAATACACTCATTTGCAATTTCGTTTCGTTTTCACGACAGACTTCGCTGAATCTCTCGTTAATGATATTCTACAACCGAATGTGCTGCACACAGGCCACCTCATGTTTCAGCTGGCCAGATCTTCGAGATTTCGCAGTATATTTTCATAAAGGTAACTACTCACAAGGCTACTGAAGGTCGAAGAGTTTTCAGCAACCTTGTGAGTGGTTTCCTTAAGGAAAATCACCGCAGTAGACTCAAAGGCACCACAAAATTCGGAAATCTGAAAGTGCGGGAGATCGAGGGCGAATACAGAGCGAATGACTGTTTTGGGAACGCTGGTGAGAAGTTATATAGATCTGTATTCCTAAACGGAAATTCGTCTCGTAAAAAGGACCAATCAGACTAAACTGCCAATAGTACAATTTCGCATGCCAATAACCTTTCACCATTTTGGCTTGCCTCACATCCAGCCATTCGGCTGTAGCCTGAACAAAATGTTACATGGCTCTTGTTTTCGGTTGTCTAAAGCCCGGTTTCGGCGAAATTTGATGGGAAATGTTCAGGTATGCAATACTGTTTAAATACGACACATTTTGTTCAGTTCTCATGAAGTATTACATATTTTATATTATTTTATATATTATATTTATTTATATTATTATNTTTATATTATTTTATATTATTACATATTTTATATTTTCGGGGCTACCCAGTTTTAGTTTCTTTTACTTAGACAGGAGAATATATTAGTGCTTTGGGGGGGCATCAAGATACACTTGATCGCTTGATAGACATCATGTGTGGTATATGGTAAGTCTGCTCGCACTGAATTGTGAAAGGCTCTGAATTCCGACGTTCCCATCCGGCTTGCTTATACATGGGGCACGGTGAGTTCCCCAGCTTATTGCTCACATCGTACAGAACTCTGAACAGTGAGGTTGGATGTGGATTTGTCGCCAACCGACTAGTCGACCATGCCGAATATGTTTGCTTGTAATTCAACTGTGTTCATTTTTAAGGTGAAATTCACACGGTTTATTGTATACCTGTGCTTTTCGTCACACGTAGTTCAGTGAAGCACGTTATTACGTTAAGGCTGTGAATCGCTTGCTCATATGCTTAATTAGCACAACCGATATGTATGAAAACTGTTGCTCCTCGAGACAATCTACCAGGACAACTCTTCTGCCAGAAATACTACGCCATGACTAAACCCTCTTATTTAATAAATCAACGAATGCACAGGTACAAAGAATAAGACTGAGATTTGTCCATTAATGAAGCTGCAGCTTCTCTTAAAAGCGGAAACATCGCAACGCCAACTTATTCCTCAAGTGATCGACGTGGATGACCAGTTCCCTTATTACATACACTGTCAAAAGTTATGCTGATCCGTAACGTCTCAAAATATCTCTTTTAGGAGTACTGCCCCAGTAAAAACAGATTATAGAATTTTTGTTATCCCTATGCGCCAAACCAGACTTTGTTACCATCAATAAAGAGGTAAATATGCTGAAAAACACTGGTTGGACTTTACAAAGGTGGTTTCAATTATGGCAGCCAACCCAGACCTTGAACACATTCATACCTTCTTCTCAAAAATGAAAAAAATACCCAAAGAACAAGAGAGTGTTGTTTGAAAAACCGTCTTTTACACTCTGTCA